AAAATATTTCATTAATAAAAAGTTATATGATTAGTACTATTTACTTCATATATATCATCAAAAAGTACAGTTCTTGGAAAATTAATAACAACTTATTTGTATATTTTTTTCCCGATATATATTTAATCACAAAATAATGAAGTCAATACTTTTTAATTTTAAAAGTTTAATTTGTAATAAACCCCATTTTAATCGTTAATGACATTATTTTCGTTTTAAAAAGGTATTTCATGTTAATCAAAACAATTTAAATTAAACAGAAATGAAAATTTGTATCCTCCGTTTATATTAATAAAATTATTATCGAATAAAATAAAATTATATATGTTATTTTAATTAAATTATATAAAACCTGTTTTTATTATTTCTATTTACCCATTTTCTTATTATTTAATATCAAATCTTTGTATATTTCTTTAAAAAGTAAGTGCCAAAAATTAATTACTATTAATCTTTTTCACTCTAACAAAAAAAGTATTATATTAATCATTACTAGTATATGTACATACGAGTGGATTTTCAAAGTTTTTTAAAGAAAATAAAGCTATTTGGTACCTACTTACAGTAATAATATAACTTTTATTATTAAATTATATTTCATCTAAAGCATTTACTTCATTTATATGAAATTCCTTAATTTAAATGAAAAGTTTATGAGAAAATATATTCCATATATTTATTCCTTTACTACAAGTACTTATAAGGAATTTCCCGTTTTCACAGATAACCATTTTTGATGTATAATAATTTTATGTGTATTTTTTTCTGATTTTTATTTATGTATAGTTATTAGTTATTTCACAAAAAAAAATTTTCCCTTCTTCTCCAGCTGCGAAAAATGTATTTTTTTAAAATTAATTTTTCAATAAAATATATAAATGTTCTTTCCCTTTATTTATATATAATTTAAGTATGCATTATTTTTGTTTTTACCAACTTAATTTTGATATATTATTTCGTTTTTTTATGAATTATATATATAAATTATTCCTTATGAACAGGCAAATAATAAATATTTGTTTTCAAATTATATTATAGACGAGGAAATATCAATATTATCATCTAATTTAAAATTATGTATTTATTTATTTTTAAAACTTTTTATAAATATTAATTCTCTTAATTTTCTTGGTTCTATATTGTTTTCTAGATATTAAATCTAATTAATTAAATTTTAATGTTTAGAATTTTATAATAATAAAATTATTTATTTTATGCTATATATATTATATTTCTAGTCATCTTATTTTTAAACATAGCAATAATAGCATAAATATTTAATTTTATATTGCTACAATTATATATAATCGAGTTTTTTTTAATGAGTTTTACAAAGATTTTATTGTTAATTTTCTAAATTTTTATATTCATTTAATTCTTCCATTTTATATATTTATTATTTTAATGAAATAACAAAAAAAAAAAAAAAATTTATAAAAAATGTTTTTGAATATAAATAATAATCAAAAATAAAAAAATTGTTTTTTTATTTTAATAAATTATTTATTCTAAAACAATTATTTATTATATTAAAAGAAAAGAAAAATATCATTATTAAAGTTATTCTATAAATTTTTTATCTAATTGTTATTTACAAATAGGACAAATAATATTTTTTACAAGCCAATTTTTAGCACAAACTTCATGAAAATGATGACTTTTTATAAATAAATAATTATATATATATTAAGTAATGTTTATTACTTATTATTACAAGGAAATAAAGTTATTTATTCATCCAATTTATATTTTTATTAACATATATTGCATTCTTTATCAATAAATTTTTTTAATTAATATGTTGGGCTTATTTTTTCTAATTAGAATTATTTCTTTTAATTTATGTAAATATATTTTATATTATTTATATACATTTCTTAAAGGACTCATTTTTTATTAACGATTTTAATTTCTCTATTTTTAAATCACTTAATGAGGCCATTATCTATTTGCAATCGACAAAACCAAAATTATAGGGGAAATTGCAACAAAAACAAATATTATTACAATAAATAGAAAAAAATACATATATGACTTTAAATTATTATATATATAATTATAATCTCTCTCTATATATATATATATAATTTATATATATATATAATTACTAGAATTAAATAGTAATAGAATATATTATCATCTGTAATAGTTATTTAATTATAATTTAGATAATATAAGTAATTTCCTTCCAGAAAAAGAAAAACATGTACTCTTTATTTTAGATAATACAATTATTATTTTTTTATTAAAAAAAAATATATAAATACATTATAATTAATATTCCAATAAAATTGGCACCTTTTAAATGAATTATAGGATGCATTAAAAAATATAATAAATCATAAAAATTAAAATAAAGATCAGCTTTTTACTCATCATCTAATTTTTAATAAAGTTAATTAATTCTGTATATTTTATGAGCTATATCAATTAATGAGAATAGAAACATATTAAAATACCATTAAGTATACTCACTTGTTGTATTCAAAATAAATAATGCATAAAATAAGTATAAAACTATTCTTATAACATCTACATAAAAATTAAATTTATTTATATTTAATTATAAGGCATAGTCTTGAAACTTTATTTATTAAATAGTTTTTTTTAAAATATGTATTTGTATTTAAAATATTTTTTTTATTATTTACTTCAGTTAATATTGTATCGTTTGAATTATAACTATTTACAGATTATATTGATTGAGAACCACTTAGTATTATAAAAGGTGCTTCCAACATTTTTTTTTTTTATTTTAATTTAATAAAAAGATATAAAAAATAAATTTATTTAGATATAAAATAAATAAATAAAAATATAATTTATTTTATAAACTTATGAAAATATTGAAAAATTTAGTTTTTTTTAGTAAAAAAGAAAAAATATTTTATCACAAAATAAAAATAAAAGGTATAAATAAATAAATATCTTATATTTTTATATTAAATCAAACTTTTTCTATTTTTGTTTTTGAAGAAAAAATAAAGCTTTATTAAATAATTAATTATAAGAATTACATTTTTTATTTTTCGTCTGTATAGCATGAAGACTTCTTGTTATTATCAATGTTTATTATATTAGGATTTTTTATTATATTATTATCTTTCTTTGTATAATAGTTTATTTTATCTTAATTATTTATATCCTTATTAAGATCCTTATTTACAAAATATATACTTTTATTTAAATTAGAAATATCTTAGAATTAATTAATTTCGATATCCTTGATTTAATTAAACGCGTTTAAATAAGAAGAAAAATTATTGTATTTTTAAAAATAATAATCGATTTCATCAAAAATTTTATAGTTAAAATTTTTATAAAATTCTAAATCCATGTTAATGTTTTAAAATAAGTTAAAATAATGTTCATAATTCTTTAAATAATAATATATTTAATAAAAATGTATAATTTTTGATTATTTTTATATTTTATATTTATATGAAACTAAATTTATGAATATAAAATGTATGAAACATATATAAATTAAATAATTTTTAAAAAATATTTAAAATAAAGTATAAAAGAATATATTATAAAATTGCGTATGAATATTTATAAAAAATAATATAAATATATATATTTATATATATATATTTATATATATATTTATTCATATATATTTATTTATATATTATTACCATATTGCTTTATAATGATTAATTAATTAATTCTTATTCATCATAAGTTATCTAAAACTAATTATTATTATTCTAATTTTATATTTTATTTTATTATTAGTTATTATCTATAAATTATTATATTTATTCTGATTTTTTATATTCTCTTGTTACAGGATTTTAATTATCTAATATATTTGAATTTTCTTTAGTTTTTTATAGTTATTAGTTTTATTCCATAATATTTATATTAGCATTATATATATTATTTTGATTATTATTTATTTATACTTCTTAACTAATAATGTTTTTTTCTCTTACATAATTTTCTTTCAATTCATTTATTTTTTTTAAACCTTATCTATACCAATTTTCTTTATTTAAATATCCCTAAATATATATAAAATAATATATATTTATATATATATAATAAAAGATACATCAGGTAATTATAAATCATATTAAATTAAATAAAATAAATCATCTTTTTAATTACTTTTTATTTAATAAATAAACTCCTATTGAAATTTTTTCTTAAAAAATTTATTCACATCTCCTTTTTTCGCTTATAATTTTTTCACTGTTATATTTTTTTCTTAAAAGCGATTTCCTCTAATATATCCAAGCAATTATTTTTCTTAAAAACTTCTATAGACAATTACCACCAGCTTTTTTCATTAAAACCGTATTTGTAATTTTAAAAAACTATATTTTCAAGTTCATTTTTAGGAAAAAAAGGGTTTCTAGTTGAATCCTATATTTTTTCTAATACTTTTACATTTCCCAAAAAAACATCTATGTTCCTTTGTTTACCTTTGTCTTTAAAATTATTATTTAAATGCCTTTCTACAGAAGTAAAAAACTCGAATATTTTTCCTTGTCCTTTCTATTCTTGAATACCTTATTTATGAGCTTTTGTACTACCGTATTATTAAGAAATTTTATCACCCATTCTTTCATACATTCCTCGAAATTCTGTTAATATAGGAGGACATTAAGTCCCTAATTCTTAAAATTTAGTTTATAGTTTATACATTTTCGAAAATTGGTAAACTAATATAATTTCTCCTACTAAAGCTTAAAAAGAATTTGTTCTATCTAAACAATCAACACAGTTTGTACGTAAAACCCCATTTTATAATTCTATATATTGAGAATTTTGATATGGTTTGGAAGAATTACATACTTAAAATATTCCTATTTAATGTACTAAATAATAGGCAAATGAATATGTTTTTTCTACATATTCTTATTTATCTCTTTTTTTATATAAGATATATATGATTTTATTTTTTACGTTTTTAATTGTTTTTTAATATCAAAATGGTAATAAAATATTTCATTTCTTTAATCTATATTCATGTTTATTGTTCTAATTACATGTTCGTATTCTTTTGCCAATAATTATTCTTTGTACTGGTTTCGAAGGATTTCACTAAGTCCATACAGTATATTTTTTCTCCATATCGAGAAAATAAATCTCCAAAATTTTTTTTGTGGCAGCAAAAAAATGATCTTAACTATTTACTAATTTTTATTTTTTTATTTATTATATATAAATATATAAAACATATTATTGGAGGCTTTATTTTTGTAAATAAAGGATTTTAAAACCAATATAAAGGAACAGAACCTCTTACTTAAATAAAAGACGAGCAAGAAGGCTTTTTATAAGAAGATTCTAAGTCAATTAATATTTATTCAGTTTCAACAAAATTAGCGGAAAAACCCTATGAAATAATAATAAAAAAAAAATTATATATAAATAAAAATAAATATATATATATATATATATATATATATATATATATATATATATATATATATATATATATATATATATATATATATTTATATTTATATATATTATATGTATACTTCTTCATTCATCCCTCTTTTAAGGAATCTTGTACCTGCATGATGTCTGCATCTTCTAGAAATTATTGTTGTACTAAATTATTTATATGTTGTTTTAATTACTATTTTTATTATATTTTTTTAAAAAAAATTATTTATATATTTATATTTAGAATACCTATTTATTCAATATATCCATGTAATATAGGTTATATCCATTTTTTATCTTAAATGGTTTTATTAAATTCTGAACAAGCATAATAATTCCACATGAATATTTCTGCAAAGTTTTCGATGTTTTTTTAACTCGAAAATAATCTGTATAATCCTCCTTCATTTTTCTTATTTAAGTTTTTGGCATTTTTTAATACATTTTAATTTAAGCTATTCGTTAAATCATATGTACAACTTAAATAAAAACATTCGGATAAATCGTAGCCTAAAAGAAGTTTGTAACATTCCTCTTCGTCTTTTTATTTTATTCCATGATAAAGAGTTAATACATCTGTTTTTTATATTTAAGATATTTTATGCCCTATTTTTTTTTTTATATTTTTTTTTTATTTTTTTTATTCTGGAATATTTTTAACTTCCTATTCTAGCTATTTTTTGTAATTATTTAATGTAAACCATATAATAGCCTTCTTGGAATTTATAAAATCCAATAATTCCATAACATTTGGCAATTAAAATAGGCTCTTTTTATAATTCATTTAGTTCTTTTATTTATTGAAATGCTTGGTCAAATGTTTCATATTCAGTATAATCTTCGGTTAGAATTTCGTGTAGTTCGATATAGTTTAAGTCTTCTTTGTTATTTAATATTTTAATGTGCAAAATTTTGTATTTTTTTTCAAATTTAGAACAACTTAATAATATATAATACTTTTTTTGTTTAATTTTTATTATGTTTTATATATATTTTTTGATACTGTTTATATTTAATATATTAATATTTCTTTATATCGACTTATATCTTCTTTTGGATATTCTAAGTTCATTTGTTATTTTAAGTATATATAAATATTTATTTATAAACTTTTTTTATTAAATTAATTGATATTTTTGTTATAAATTAAAATTATTTTTATCTTATTTATATTATATTATTAATTTTTTTATAAAATAAGGTTATTTTTATTATTAATATTGTCTTTATTATTTTTAATTAAATAAATAAATTATAATTTCAAATAATTAATTAATATATTATCTTTAATAATTTTATTTTTATTTATTTATTTTTATTTATAAAAAATAAATAATAATCGAATACTTTTAAAAAACAACTAAATAGTAAAATTTTATTAATAAAATTATTTTCTATATTTTATTTAAAAAATTTAAAAAAAGAAAATAAATGAAATAAAGCAACAATCAAGCTATATTAAAAATATCTTAATATAAATAAAATATAATAGGAAATTTTTTAAATCCGAAATTGGAATTATTATTTAATCAAGAAATATTCAATAGCCAACATATAGATTTATACCATAATTTATAATACATAAAAATATATATTTTAATTATTAATATAGTAACATCTAATTTAAATTTGGAAATATTAATGATAAATAGTTTAAATTCTTTTTCATTAATACTTTTAATATTTTCATAAAATATATTATTTAAGTATTTATAAATTTAAAAATGGAAAAGAATTTTGATTTTATTTTATTTAATTTTTGAAAGCGAAATGTTTATGTTTACAATAATAAAAAACTATAATAATTCAATATAAATTATAATAGTACAGATTTTACTTTTTTTATAATTATTTATTATATTGGCGACATTTTACGAGGCTTTTTTTATAATAATTTTAAGAAATATATTCATTATTTATTAAGGAAATAGTGAATTTAAAGAAAAAATAGAAAAAACAATTTTATTTTGCACTATAAATATATTAATATACTTATAAATAAATAAATATATTCGAAATTTATGGAAAGTTTAAAATTTTTACCAAAAACAAGTATAAATTAATAATAGTTTATTTAATAATTTACATGCTATTTTAATAATTTGTGATTAGAAATAATAAATAATTGAGTTGACTTAAAAATCTAAAGAATTTTTATAAAAATACGAGAATTTATACTAAAAAAAAATCACTAATATAAGTTAGATTTTTACATCAAAATAATAAGAAATTCATCTAAAAAATGCAATTGAATTTTGTCTATAATAAAACGAAGGAATAGAACTAGAATTTTATATAGAAAAATTTAATAATAATTATAATGATATTTTATAAGAAAATAGGGTTATTTTTAAAAAATAGTCATTAAAATTAATGAAATTTATCATTTTTCCAATCATTTATAATGGAAATATGAATATTCAAATACTAATTTAAAACTGTGATAAAAGATAGGCTATTTTAGAAACTTGTGAATTCTATACTAATTATGTCTTATAGAATTGTATCGAAAATATATCTTCTTTGGAAAAAGAATATGTCAAATGGAGCAATATGGTTAGCTTAAATATTATTAAAAATGATGATTTAAAGTAACTTTCGTAAATTTTATATGAAAATCATGTCTAGTATAATTATTTGAGTGTCTTGAATATTTTATAGAGAGAATTCGGCCAAAATACACTCAAAAATTTCTAAAAATTTGACCTTAAAGCATGTATGATACATTTTGTGGAAGTTATTATGGTCAAGAAAATATAGAATGTGTAAAAAATATATTTAGAATTCGAAGAGGCATTTCCTTCAGAAGAAGTTTCGGGGGATGACGTGTAATTTCATTTAATGATGACTTGTTTATTAGAATTTATTATAGATTAAAATAATACTAACTAGAATTAAGAAAAGGCAAATACTCCAAAAGAAAAAGGAAACATGAAAAATGAAATAAATATAGATTGTAAATTAAAATAAATTAGTAAAAGTGGAAATTATGTAATATTAATAGAATTTATGTTTTTATGTAGTTAAGAGGCAAAATAATTTTTAAAAGAAATTTTAGAAGAATTGAAAATTGAAGAAGATGAAGAAGGAAATATAGAAAACTTTAATAAATTATTATCGCCTTTTAAAATAGGAAATAAAAATAAATAATAAGTTGATTTTTTAATAATTTTTACTCTTTTAAAAAGATATGGTGGAAAAATATATCTATAAGAATAAATTGAAGATAGTTTCCTTGAAATTCCTAATAAAAATTAAATAAATTTTCAACATGTTATTTTTTGTTTAGAAATGAATTTTTTTCCAGTAGAAATGAAAACTGTTAGTGCTGAACCTCCTCCTTAAATATTAGGATCACCTAGTACTAATAATATTAAATGGTAAATATAAAAAAATTCATTAAGAAATCCTACTGTGCTTAATTTAACTTTTTGTAGAGAACCTATGAAAAATAAGTAATTTTTTATTTTTTAATATATATATACATATATATAAAAATATAAATATATAAACATATATATATATATATTTATATATTTATATATTTATATATATATATATATTTATTAAATTATTCTTTTACTTTTTTTTTTTTTTTATTAATAATAAATTATGTCAAAGAATTTAAAAAATAGTTAAAAGAAATATACATGGGAATAAAAAGATATAAAAGAAATTAAGAAAATTTAATTGTAATAAAACAAAGTAAATCCAAATGTTGTATGTTAATAATTTAAATCTTAAAAAGGCCAATAATAATTTACTGAAATCGATAAAAATAATAATAATAATAACTTACTAAATTCTTAAAAAGATAAAAAAAGCACAAAAAAAAATGTTTCAGGCTAAGAATTACCAAATAATAAAGTAGCAGCAAAATCAAAAGAACCTTAAGAAATATAAATAACAAGAAAATGCTCTATTTAATAATAATAATAAATATTTGAATTTTAAATGTATAGAAATGATAGTGAAGAACATAAAAATAAATTTACTAGAAATTAAATTAAGAAAAAAGAATCTATTTTAATAAGAGAAGATAGTCAGAGTGATAATCATAATAGTTCGAGTAATATTAATCTTATTTCGGTAAAGGAAATAGGACTTGGTAATAATAATATTGTATAATCTGCTACTCTATTGAGACTTTCTTAATAATAAATTGAAAAATAATAATAATAAAATGATAAATAATAATCTTAATTATTAAATGATTTGAAATAAGAGAATGAGATAAAAATGCATAAATCGGATTTTTATTATGAATAGAAAAAAAGAAATTCAATATAAAAATTACTAAATGAAGAAAACATATAATAGATTGTATAGTCACATATTTAAAAATTAAAATATTTTTATACGAAATAAGCTTAATCTTTACTAAGGGAGATTGTGAAAAACTCGAGTATTTTAAAAGAAGAAAATTAAATTTTTATAATTGAAAAACCGTAAATTCAACTCTAAAATCCATTAAAAAATTATAGAAAATTAATAAAAAAAGCTCTTGCTTTTAGATAATAGTAATTATAAGATTAAAGTGGAAAAAAAGATATGTTACATTAAAAAAAAATATAAAGCTTAAATATTGATAATAATAATTATTTTAAAATGTCCTTAGAAAGAAAAGATAGTAATATTTAAAATGAAGAATTATAGGTTTTTTAGTCACTAGATAATATAGAAAATAAAAGATTTAATGACAAAAAATTAATATAAACATTACCTAGTATAAATAATTTTGCTAATATAGAGAGATAAGAAAGTATGATATCTAAAAATAATTAATTGAGTTTGATAGTAAATTAAAATAGATAACATAGATAAAGTATTATCATTAATAAAAATATATAAAATTTAATATAATAATAATAATAGTAATAGTAATATTAATAATAATAATAATAATAGTAATAATAATATTAATATTATTAATAATAATTATAATATAATGATTAATATTAAATAATAAATAAATAATAATCTAATTAAAATTTATAATTAGAAAAATAATAAAATTAATTATTAGAATAAGAATAAATTTAATAATAAGACTAAGAATAAGAATAAGATTATATAGAATCTTAAATTTATAATTTTAATATTAATGAAATAATTAATTAAAATAGATAAACTTAACATAGAAGATAATGGGTTGCAACTGATTTATGGAAAAAAAAAGTAAATATAAAATATATATATATATATATATATATATATATATATTTATTTATTTATTTATAAATATAAAAAATATTTTTTTTTTTTATACAAATCTTTTATAATTAAAGACTTTCTAAATTTCAGATTCTATATTAGTTTATACAGAAAATAGTTAGATTATATCCGAATTAAAATAATTTTAGATTGAAAATATAAAGGATATGAAAAATATTATATTTGTAAGAGATAATATTGATTTCATTAATGAATATAAAAAATAATTAGAAAACTCAATGCTATTTAAAATGATTATATTAGATTTTTCTTCAGAATGCGAAGAAGATAATTATGAATATGAAATGGCTGCTACTATTATAAGGAAATGGGAATAAAAAAATAAAGTCCTAAAAACTACTTTAGTTGGAGTAAAATTTAAATTAATTATATATTTAAACTAATTTTTATTTAGATTTCTAATTAAAAAGATTTCAAAAGTAAATATGACTAAATAGATTTTTGGATTGATTAAATAAATAATTTTTATGAAATATATTAACAAATTATAAAATAAATATGATTATTTTATTTATTTTATAATTTTAAAATAATATACATATATTAATGAATATTTAAAATAATTTAAATAATAATATATTTAATTAAATATATTCACTATGTTAAATATTTATAAAATAATATTTAATAATATATATAAATATATTATATATTTATATATATTTATTTATATATCATATACAACATTTATAAATAAAAAATTTAAATTATTTTTAAATTTATAAAATGATTTACGATATTAAAGTTAGTCATCCTAAATAGATAATTTTATAATTTTTAATAATTTCTTTGTTAATTATTTCAATACATTTTGTACTTACAGCAACTTTATCTTTTGTAGATTAAGATGGATGTATAAGAAATTATTATAGATCATAAGGTTTTGAATTAACATCATCTTATAGAAAATTATTAAATGAAAAAAGTTAAACCTAAAAATGTCTTATAAAAAAAGCTTCACTTGATTATTGAGTTTAGACTTTAATTATTGAAATGATTACATTTTAAAAATATAAATAATTTTTATAAATTGTATTATAAATATTATATATTCCAACTATATATTAGATTTATAAATTAAATATATATATATATATATATATATATATATATATATATATATTATTATTGATTTTTATACTAATATAAATTTTTTATATATTAACAAAAGAAACTAAAATTAACAAAAAAATAATATGAAAATATATATTTTTAATATTATAATCCTTTTTTATCTTATTTATATTGTATTTATAAACTTTATTATCAATTTATTATAGGAATTTTATATTATATTACTTTTACTATATATCTTAATTATACTAGTTATTCTAATCATATTAGTTATCTTAATTATCTTATTTATTAACTATTCACATATAAAAATATCTAAATCAAGTTTAATAAATACGATTTACAGTAAAATATTATTCATATATTTTATATTTGTAAAAGCAAGTAATTTCATTAAAAGTTATAGTAATAATTATATAAAGATTTTATATTTAAGTAACAATGAAATTACACAAAAAACAATTGAAACTATTTAATATAAAAATTAATATAATATAGACTGTTCCCATTTTAATTATTAAATTTTTATTATTTTAAGAGAATTTCAATATTATTCAAAATGTAAATACTCTTAAATTTATAATAAAGCTTTATTTTTAATCTAAAATATAAATAAAAAAAAAACCTGTGTGTCAAAAATATAAAAATATAATATATTTTGTTTATATAATTAATCAAAGTATAGTTATTTTTTATTTCCGAGGGTATTTATAAATAAAATATAAGTTTATAATTTTATGATAGTTTGTAATATATATATATATATATATATATATAATATACTTAATATAAATTTTTACAGTAATAATAATTATTTAATTAATTAAGAATATCTATAAATACATATAATTATTTTATAAGTTAAAAATATTAAATTTTTTCTTTTATTTATATTTTATAGCAAAAATTAATATATAAATTTTATTAATATATACATATACCTAATATTATTTATATATAAATAAATATTTTTATTTATATAAAACTATCATATATATAATATAATTATTTATTTAATATTTTTGATTTTTTTTCTAAAGTTAAAGTAAAAATTAAAAAAAATAAAGATAAGAAAATTTTTTTAATTATTATATATCATACTTTTATTATTATTTTTTAAAATATAAATAATACATTTTAAACTTTAATTAAATAATAATTTTAATTTATTTTTTTAAATAGAAAATTTATTTATATATATATATATATATATATATATATATATATATATATATATATATATATATATATATATATATATATATATATTATTATTATCAATTAACTGATTTTAATCTTTTTTCTTAATTTGTTATGAACACTTTTGTTTTTTATATTTTTATATTTTTGTCAAATTCACTCATATTTTATGAGTTATCTTAATTTATATCTTTATTTAAATTGTTATTATTTGCTATATTTACAAAAGATATTTTTTCTTTTAATATTGATTATGAATTTATATTATTATTATTAATTAGTTATAAAGAAGTAAATTTTTTCATACTATTATCATTTATTTTTATATTTGAATAACTTTTGTTTTTAAAACTAGTAAAATTGCCTTCTATAACGCTATTTTCTTTTTTTTAATTTATATAATTGCTAAAAATGTAAATACTATTTTATATTTCATTTTTATATAAAATATCTATATAAATTTTTTTATTTTAATCTTCTAAATTTTATAAAGTTCTACTGGCTTTATTACGTGTAATATTTGTATTATTTATTATATATGATTTGTTATTATTATCAAAATTATTATTACATTTGGTAATTTATTATTTTAAATTAAAATCTTTACTTTCATTATCTATAATATTTTCATTATTTTTTATTTTCTATCTGATTATAAGATATTTATTTAAATATTATTTTGATTATTGCTTACGTAACTATTGCTAAAAATAAGATATAAAATTTGCCCGAATATAAAAAAACAATAAATAAAAGAAGCTGTTATAGAAATACTAATATAAATTTCAAATTAATTAGTTATTTTATTTAAATTTGAATAATAGAAATAAAAAAAACAGACACATTCAAATATTCTTACAATTGAACTTAATAAAACTACTTAATAATTTACTGAATTATAATTTTGAATTAAACAATTTTTAACAGCATAAACATATGTATTAACAGGTTAGCGTAAATAAAGACAATTTATTAATAGAAATATAACACTAAAAAAAGTTTATTTTATAGTCATATTTTATCTAATAATGTTATATAGGATTATAAAAAAACACAATATAATACATAAAAAAGAGAACTTAAAAGATAAATAAAAAAAAAATAATAATTATAAAAAAAAAAAAAAAAAAAATTTATATATATATATATATATATTTATATATATATATTTTTCTTTATTTTGCAATTTTTTTATTTTACTACAATCGAATAATTTAAAATAGTTTATTTATAGTTAAAAATAAATTCTTAGTATTTTATTAAAAAATATTAAAGAATACATATTACTTCTAGCATAAACTTCAATCGTATAGTGTATTATTCCTTCAGAACAAAATGAATTTTCATAAATTGTAAACTAATTGTTATAAATACCAATATTTAGGCAAATAAATAAAATTTTAATACAAAAAAATACACTAAATTTTTCAGTACTTATCTAATTAAAAGCAATTATATAACTACTTATTACACATAGAACTCTGGCCTAATTTTAATTTTAGTTTATATAATTTCTTTAATTTTTATTTTTTTTATATTAACAAAAAATGTGTTTATATAAATTTAACCTAATAAAAGGAACTACTATTTATAGATTTATATATTTTAAAAGATATAGGAAAGGACGAAATTTTCCAACTTGAATACAAAATTAATACATGGTCCATTAAAAGTAATTTACAAAGATAAAAAAATAAAAAATTATAATTTTTTTAAAGCTAATTGTTAATGAAGCTATAAGCTATTTAAAGTATTAATAAAATAATCAAAATATAGGATTAAATTAGGTTTTATTAATCTTTTATCATTTAATATATTTCTAATATTATAAAAATCAAGGATATTAAGTAAATAATTATCTAAATAGAATAATAAAATGTTTTATGATAGGTATTTATATTTACTAATTTAAATCTTTTCATTTTATATATCATTTTTAAAAAAATAATTATTTAATTATTATATAAAAATTCAATTATAAATTAAAGATTAAAAATTTCTATTCATATTAATAAATAAAAATATGAAAATTAAATAAAATTATATTAAAATATATAATATGCTTAATATATATTTATATAATATAAGTAATTAAATTATTGTTTTTTTTTTTTTTTTTTTTTTTGAAATTATAAAAAAAAATATAATTATATCTTTAATTTTAAAAAAATGTATTATAAAAATATATATTATTTTATTTTTTATATATTTATATTATATCATTGTTTTAGATTTATTTAAAATATATTTTTATTTTAATTTATAATCTTTTGAAATTATAAATTAAAAATATATATATATATATATATATATATATATATTTAAATAATTAATATTAATTATATTTTTTTATTTTTGTTTTCGATATTTATATTAACAATTTTTTAATTAATTATTTTAAAAATATTTTTTATTTTTGATTTTTAATTTTTAAAATATTAATTGTTTAAATGAAAAATTTTTATATTTATTTTCATATTTCTTGTATATTTAAAACTTGTTTTTTTTATTATTTAAAAGGAAAAATCCATTCAAGTATACTTTCTCCCATAAAATATTTTAGATTTTGAATTTTCGATAATTTTCTAAAAGGATTCTAATAATAAAAATTTTAAATATTTTTTTCTTTAAGAAAAATAAAAAACTTTTTCAGTTCTCATTTCAATTATATTATATTCTAAAGTAGTACAATTTATAGATAAAATACAAATCTAAAAAATAAAAAGCCCTATTGTTAATATACCTAAAGGTAAACAAGCTGAAGAAGCCGCAACTATATGAAAATGTTCTTTTTCGCTCGATAACTTTTTATATTTAAAAAAAAATATATCACTTTGAATATATATATATATCATTAATTTGTCCCCCTTACTTTAATTACAATTTAATCATAAAATGCATAATCAAAAAAAACTGAAAAGGAAACAAAAATTGAACATATTCCAGAATAAAATAAAAATTAAATAAAATATTTATGATTATCTTAACCAACGCAATTTCCAACCCAAGGACAGTGATGGTCCATTCTTAAAATACATCTTTTTTCAAATATATAAATATATGAAAAAAATACATATATATATTATCTCTATTTTACGTTTTGCAAATTTTACAATGATGTGCTCTTATGGGTTTTATTTTTTCACATTTAAAGCAATATTTTACTTATGCAATGTCTTTCATTTAGTCACTTTTTTTATATTAATTTTTTTTTCTCTCTTTTATGTTGTTGTTTTTTACAAATTTTAATATTCTTAGTTAGAAAAAAATTATTTTTTATCTTCATTTAAATATTATAGCTTGTTATTGTTTTCTTCTAAGTCTACTAAATCATCTATATATGCTAATTAATGTTATTTTATTTATGATGTATCGAATAAAAGCTTAGATTCATTTAGTCTTTTTGTTTATATTATTGCATTTGATTATTTAGTATATTCTTTTATTTTTTCTAAGCTATTATTTTATTACATTTAAACCTTTTTATTTTATTTTTAGTATTTTTTTTATTATACATTTTCATAATATATATATCCAGGCGATTATTTTACAGTTTTATAATACGAAATAAAAGTTAAAAACGAGAAAAAATTTATAAAAAGTAATAATGTAATTGCTAAAGGTAAATTCTATATATTTTATTTTTATTTTTATATTTTGTATATTACTATAGTTATTAAGTATCTAATAAAAACATATTAGTAAATAATATATATATATATTAGTAATGATATAACTAATCCGACTCCAAAAAATTTAGTAATGAAATCTCCTTTATCATTTATTTATTATTTTTCTTTATATTATGATATATTTTATTCTTAATCCATTATTTTTTTAAGTTTTAATTTTTTATAAAATAATAGAAAATACTATTATAAAGTAATATTATTCTATTTTTTTATTAATAAATTATTATAAATATATATTTTTTTTAATATTTTAAGCCTATAATTTAGAGAAACATAAAATACATTTACAAATTCTATTTAAAATTAATAATTTATATCATAAAAATAAATAATTATAAATATATTAAAATAAATTATATATGTATTTATATAAAGTAATGTTTATAATTATTAAATAAAATTAATAAAAAAAGTATTAGTATTTTGTTTTTAGTTTTATTATACTCGTTAATTATATGAGACATTAATTTTTTTTTTATTTTTTTTTTACTTAAAAAAAATATTAATTAAAAAGATTTTTTTATTTTTTTACTATATTTAAAATTAATAACAAAAACATATATATTTTTTAAATATGGATATTGAATTTTAACAACAATATTTATTAATTGATTAAAGTTCAAATTCTTTCTAAATACCTATATTCAAAAATTATACAGATACGGAAGTTTATTATATGAAGGAATTATATTAAGTTCTTTAATATAAAGTAACATTTTTTATATAATAGAAAAATAAAATAAAGAAAGTATTCATATATATGAAAAAAAAAAAAAAAAGAAATAAGGAATGGTTGAAATAGTAAAAAATGACGATAAAATAATAAATTCATTAAATATATTACTTCATTTTAAATTAAAATTTCCTGAAAATTATAACAAAGTAAAATATACAAATTTAGAATAAATTTTAAAATAAATATATACATATATATAATTATTAAAATAAATTATAAATATTAAAAAAAAAAAAAAATACAAAGATATATATATGCTGTTAAAATACAAAAGATGCTGAAAAATATATAGAAATGAGCCAAGAGCTACAAGAGAAATATTCTGAATTATAAAAATTAACAATAATAAAATTAAATAAAAAACAAGATTTATGCATACATCCTGAACTTCGATATAATCTTAATATATTAGACGATGAGTATTTTTGTAGATATAAACGAAAAGTAGTAAATGACTGTAATTTTTACTAGAATTTATTATAAAAACAATAACAGAAAACAATAGATACAATAAAATCTTAATAAAAATATAATTATAATAAAACAAGACTAAAAAATTTAGGAGAAGAAAATACCATTTGTCCATATTTTTATATGTTGGATTTAATTTAAAAATGTGATATTGTTATTTGTACACATTCGAATATCTTTCAAGAAAATTAAAGGGATTTATATTAGCATATTAATATGGAACAAAATTCTTTCCTTTTTTTAGATTAATGTTAGTTTTTATATGAAGATATAAGAAATTATAATACGTAAATATATATATAAATATATATTTATATATATATATATATATATATATATATATTTTTTTTTTTTTTTTAGTGTTAATATAGATATTTAAATGATTCATAATTCTATAAAAGCATGTTTTTATTTAAAAAATTAAATTTTGGAAAATAAAATTGTTAATTTGAATGAAATTTAGAAATATGATGTTTAATATTAGAAATATTTATAGAAATTATAAAAAAGCATAAATGCTTAAACTAAATAAAATAATGAAATACCGGGAAACATAAAAAATCCTTTACTTTTTATTGAATTTATATAAAAAGGTTGTTAGGAGTTAAATATTATATTTTAGAGTAAATTGAAATAATAAAGAGATGTTTTTTTCTAAAAAACTTAAAGTTCATAAATTAAAAAAATATAAGAAACACTATCTTAATATTTATAACCAGTAACTAGGAGATCTTTATAGTAAAAAAAACTTTAAATATATATATTATAAATAAATATGATATTTATATAAAATTATTAAAGGAATATATTTTAATTTTTATTTATTTTGTATATTTTTTTTTATAAAAAATTATAATATTTCACTATATTTTATATGTGATTTTTATAAAGTTTTTTATTTATTTTTTAATAATAATAAGTAATATATAATATTATATTATAAAATTTATATATTATTATATTAACAATATTCTATTTTTATTTATTTATATTTTATATTTGAAATAAAGATTTGTGAAATATATTATTAATGATTTATTTCCTTATTTAAAGCTTTATTATAAAGAATAATAAAATAAAAATAAATAATATAATTTTGAAGATTTAAGAGTTTTAGTTGAGTTTTTACAAAGTATAAATTCTAGGTTTAACGAAAATCTTAAATTAGATTAAAGCTTTAATATTTTTTTTTAAGAAGAACCTGAATATAGAAATGATATACTTTTTTAACCTATATTAACAATAGCTCCTAATAAAATTAATACATTAGTTTAAAATAAACTTAAAAATCAATCTTTTTTATTTACATCATCTTGTTTAATTTAATTTTTAGATGGACAAAATATTATATCATAAATATATGGATTAAGTAAAAAAATAGATAAATATATATATATATATATATATATATATATTTATATATATATATATTTTTAATTTTTAATATTTATAGATTCTAAAATCCAAATTTAAAAAATTTAATTAGATTAAAGTGTATAATTTAACGTTATGCCTATTTTTATTACTAAATGGAATGATTAATCTAAATTTTAATCATTTTAAGGAGATAAACACTTATAAACAAGAAACTATTTAAATATAGTCCAAGAAGTTTCTTTGTAAAGTCCTGATGGGATTGTTGTTTATTTACCTGATTTAAAAACAATGAAAATTTTATCAGAAATAAATGAAATTTAGAAATTAAGCACTTTATTAAAACCTGTTTTTTTTGAAAACCCGTTTGATTTTCAATAAACTTAAGAAGTTTTATTATTTTTTTTTATATTTTTATTATTAATAAAAAAATTTAGATTTTATAATATTATAAATAATCATGTGATTATGGAATCGGCGGTATATTTTTTTGTGTTGTAAGAGGAATTGCAGCTAGATTTTTCAGTTTTAATGATTAATATGCGAGATGTGTACTTATTTTGGGATATCCAGAAAGATAATACAATAATTATTTCTTTAAAAGCAATAATAATTAATTACTTAATATTTCAAAGTCAGAATTCACTACTTTTGATACTATGAATGCTGTTTCTTAATGTTTATAATCTATATATACATATCCTTAAGATTATGGAATTATGATATTAGCAGATGAAGTAAAACTAATCGATATTTATATATATAGTATTTTTTATTAAAAATTAGAAATTAAAAAAATAATGTGAATATCTTCCTTAATGGGTAAAATAAAATTTAAAATGGTAAGAAGAAATGACTGTAGGAGATTTTTTATCTACTATTTTATATTATTATAAAGTAATGGGAAAAATATATATATGAAAAAATAATATTATATATATATATATATATATTTATATATATATATAAAATTAAATTTTTATATTAATTTTATAATATAATATATTTAATATGATAATTATGTTTTTTTTAAAAAATATATATATAAAAAAATTCATATTACAATGCTTTTATAATATTTTATAATATAATATTTATATACTTAATTTTTGAATAAAGATAAATTTAGAATTTTATTTTAATTTATTTTGTTATGTATTATACTTAAATTTACTTCTAAGTAAATATCATCTTTTTGTCTTATTATTTATAAATAAACCTATATATAGACTTTGTTCTTTGTTAAAAATAATAAGACTTTATTTTAGTTGATGCTTTTAGAGGTTTAGTTAATTTTTTTATACAAAGTGATATTTTTTATCATATTTTTTGAATTAATTTATATTTGAATTTGTTATATTAGATATATTAATATTTTTTTATTTATTTTTATAAATTAATTAATATTAAAATGATGTTTTTTTTATTTTAATTTCGTATATAATAATAATATATTATTATTTGATTAAAAAAAAAAAAAGTTAAAAATAATAATCAAAAAAAAAAAAATACATATCTTTAAAATTTAATAATAATAAAAAAATAAATAGTAATAATGGTTAGTATCAGAAAAGCAAATTTAAATGATTTATTAGGAATGTAAAACTGTAATTTATGGTGTTTACCAGAAAATTATACATCCAAATATTATTTATATCATTTCATGAGTTGGCCATAAATCCTTTATATAGCAGAAGACGTAAAAGGAAAAATAGTAGGCTATGTAATGGCAAAAATTGAAGATGATGAGGATGTTTTACACGGTCATATAACATCTTTATCAGTTTTAAGGTCTCATAGAAAGCTTGGAATAGCTAATTAATTAATGAATGCGACACATAAAGATATAGTAAACTTATTTTCGGCAAAATATGTATCTTTACATGTAAGAGTATCAAATAGAGCGGCTTTAGGATTGTATTAAGGGAAATTAAGTTATGAGATTTTTGATTTAGAAAAAGGATATTATGCAGATGGAGAAGATGCATATAATATGAAAAAATATTTTGATTTAAATGCAAGACCGAAAATATTACCTTATTATGAAAGTGAAGAAAATAAAGCGCTTTTATAATAAAAAAATGAAGTGAAAAAATAAGAAAACGAAGAAGATATAGAAGAAAATAAAGATAAAAATAAAAAAAATATTAATTATGCAGAAGGAAAATGAAATAATAATATTTAAAATTTAATATATATATACATGTATATATATATATATGTATTTTTTATATTTCCTAAATATTATATATTTCTATTATTTTTTTATTTATATTAAAGGTTCTTCTTTTTTTTTATAAATTTTATATATATAAAATATATATTTTTTATATATTAGTATTTTATTTAAAGATATTATTATTTCTCTTTATGTATTATTTTTATTTATACTTGTATTATTTATTAAATATTGATATTATTTTTATAAATGTAAACTTTCTAATATATTAAATCAACATTTTTTTAAATAAATAAGTATTTTTTTATATAATGGAATTAATATATATAAAAATATAAAAATTAATATATATTAATATATAAAAAATAATTTTTTCATTTATATATATAAAAACTTTATTTATTATATTATATTATATTCTATTTTTTATTTATTAATAAAAAAATTCTTATTATATTAATAGTCTTATTTTTTTTTTATTTATTCAATACTAAATTTATAACTTAATAAAATACAATTCTATTTTCTTTTAAAATAATTTCGTCTGGAATATATTCTATTTAAAATTATTATTAAATAAGTATAGTATTTTTCTAAATATTCTATTATAGATATTTCATTAATTTATAACTTCACAAAAAAATACATAAATAAAAGTTAAATATACATATACTAACATAGTTTTTAATCTAAATTATTAATTGTATCTTCGATTAAAAATTTTATTATAAAAATAAAGTAAATATCACTAAATTATATAACCATATCCTATTATTAAAGATTTTGATTTAAAATCACTATTTTAAGTTTATATGACTCCAGATTTATATTTATGAAATTTTTTTTAAAGAATAAATATTTTTAAAAAATTAAATTGATACAATATAGTATTTATGAATTAATAAATTGTTATATTTGAATATTATGTATAAATATTTTAATGAAAAAAATATAATAAAAATATATCAAAGAAAATATTAGATTATAAATATATTAGAATCAAATTGAAATTTTATAAAAAATAAGTCTAATATATTATAAATTTAATATTTTTAAGAAGTTAATGAATCTTATAATATCAAAAAGTATTTAATTATAAAAAAAGGGCAACTTAAAACATTTCAAAAATAATTTAAAAAATAAATATATATATATATATATATATTTAGTTATATAAAATACATATATTTATATTTAATTAAATATTTTTATACATATATTTTATTATTTACTATTATTATATATTTTTTTGTATATACAATATATAAATTAAAGAAATATATAATGTTTTTTTATATATAATATAAAATTTTTAATTTTATTTATTTTTATATCTATTTTATGTTTATTTTAGTTTTATTTGTTTTTTAAATTGCATTTTATAGAAATTACTAGAATTATAAATATTTTATTTTAAATAAATTTATTTGATATATACTTCTCTTTGTAATTATTTTTTTAATAAATTATTATTATTTTATATAAATATTAATTTTTAATTTTCTTTTTCTTTTTTTTTTCAAATCAAAACCTTGATAAATTTTGTATTTAATTTACTCTTTTATTGTTTGATAAATAAATTTTCTTGTAAAAATTACATTTTAGGCTATAATTCTTTATTAGAATCTTTTCTTTTATTTTCTTTCTTTAACAAAGCATATCCTTAGTAGTTTTTTTAGTTATAAAAATTAATTTAAATTATTAAAAATTTTCCTGTTTTTTTTTTTCACTAAAGTTTATTCTTCGAAGAATATCATCTTTAAACTGTATCAAAATTTATCTAAAAATGAATAAAAGACTATACAAAAAGGCATATTTATTTTTTAATTCATATAAAATAATAATAGCCTAGTTTATAATATACTAATAGTAATCAAATCAAGAAAAAGTGCTAAAAAAAGACAAAAAACAATGAAAAATTTCTAAATTATGTTTCAAAATAAAAAGAAACTGATAATTTAAAAAGATTAATATAAAACTAAAAAAAGGACTTTTATAATTACTTAATTAATGTTTTAAGATTTAAATAATAAAAAATCTTAATAATATTAAAAAAAGAAGATGGAAATCGCAAAAAGAAATAAATGTATAAAAATAAATCACAAAAACTAAACTAAAAAAACTTTTTTATTCATTGAAAGTTTCTTATTATTAAAAAATATAAAGTAAAGTATTATAGTTATAAAAAAATATAAAAATATAATATAAATATACATATAAAAAACGATACAATATCATAAAAGAACTGATAAAATATAAGATATACATAATAAATACGAGGTTTATGTATGATTTTTATATAGTTTTAATATAATTTTGTTTTTATAAATCAATAAAAAAAAAATATAAAATATAATTAAATAAAGATATTTTTTGAAATAAAATATATAAAGAAATATTTCAAATAGAAAAAACAATATGAATAAGAACTATATACAAAAAATATATGTATATATAGATAGTTTCTTTAGATAAAGCAATTTTATTAAAATAAAAATGTAAAAATTTTAAAATTCTTTTATTATGTAAAAATTTAATAAAAATATAAATAAATAAAATATATATATATATATAAATAATTTATTTGTTTATTTATTATATATATTTATATTTATTTCTATAATATTTTTAATTTATATTAACTTTAATTATTTATACTTGACATAATTGATATTCAAAATATATTAATTTATAAAATTAAGTCTCATTGTATTAATTTATAAAAATATCTTTTTTTTTTTTTCATTATATCTATTTATTTTTTATTTTTAATAATAAATTAATTAGCTTTTTTTTTTAATTATTAAAAATATTTTTTTTATTAAAATATATAAATATTAAATTTTATATTAACAAAAATATATTTTTTATAAGAGGAAATATTAAAATTATAAAATTAATTTTAATAATAAAAATTCTTTAATATAATTTTAATAAATTAAATTATTAATTTAAATTTTTTAAATAGTAACTAATTTATTATTTAATTTTATAATTAATATTTTTATATTTATTTTTTTACTTTTATATTATATTTTAAAAAATTAGACATTATAAAATATTGTAGACTTTTAAAAATGTAAAATTTTTAGATATTGTATAATATTTTTTATATTTTAATTATTAATAACTAATAAATTATTATATTAATTATATAATATTATAAATTAAATATTTTGATATTAGTTCTTTTTATTTATAAGTTGTTTTACTTGAATTTTAGATTTAATGATAAATTTTTATTCTTCAAATCAAATTATTAATAAAATAAGTTTACAACATTATTTTTATATAAATTAAAACATATAACAATTTTAGAGCTAATTTTCAAAATTAAAAATTATTATTATATACTTTTTCCCTCCATATAAATCAATTTTTGATTACTTATTTAGCATTTAAAAAAATAATTAAAAATATAAATATATAAAATCAATAAATCTAAAAAAAAATTTTTAAAAAAAAAAAAAAATGTCCTAAGAAAACTAAAACTCAAACGAGAATTCTTAAAAAAACATAACATAAGAGGAACCTTAGAAAAAGAAAAAATTATCAAAATTAGCAGAATTATCATAAACCATAGCCTCATTAGATGTCTAAAGGAAATAAAATCGTAAATAAAGACTTGAAAAATTACATTAAGAATTAGAAACTAATTAATAAATACTTTCTAGATTAAACAATAAATTCGATGAGGAAGAAGAAGAAGAACCAAATTATTAACGAGAATATGAAGGGCAAGAAGAAAATACAGAGGAATAAATAAATAAAAGGGGAAGAAAATAAAGAACAATGTGTGATGGTTTAAATGAATTAAATAAAAAATAATAAAGAAAGACTAATAATAATAGTAACAATAATAATAGTAATAGGGACTTAATAAAAACTAATAATAAGCTTTTTAAGGAATTTAATTTTAAGGGATTTTAAGATGAAGAGGAAGAATAAAATATATATGAAGAAAATTAGTATTATTAAGAGAAATCAATATAGGAAGAGAGTATATAATTTGAAAGAAATATTGCTTAATAATAAAGAAATATAAAAAATTATGAAATTCATTAAAAAAATTATAAAAAAAACTTGGATTAGAATAAGATGATAATTTATATAAAGGAGGGCTTTTTGGATTTTTTTAAAGTTTAAGTTAATAAAATACATAAAGGGAAATTGATGAAGATTGTGAAATCTAATTGGAAATACCGAAAATTTAAAGCCATGATAATGTTACTAATAATACCTTATTTTTAGTAAAATTTCAAGAAGTAATTCTATTATTACTTCTTCTTTAAAATAATAATAATAATTATAATAATAGTAGTAATTAAAATAATAATAATAATAATAATAATTGTAAAAATAATAATAATAATAATAAAATAATCATAATATATGTTAATAATTTTCAAGAGTATAATTATTAAAAAATATGTAATAAAAAATTATTGAAAAAAATCTAAAAATTTAAATGTCGAAGAAATAAAAAGCAAATTTATTTAAACTACACTAGATTCTATAGAACTTAAAAATGATCTAAAAAAATAAGAAAAATAAGAAAATAAATAAGAGGAGTAAGAATAAGAAGAAGACACTTCAGATGAAGATTATCAAGAAGAAGACAAAGAAGATTAAAAAGAAGAAAATATTTCCGAAAAAAACCAAAATTCTAACAAAAATTTAGAAGATGCTGAATTCCATTATAGGAAATTACTTGCATTGGAAGAAGGTATAAATATAGAAGATAAAAATTCAAAAGAAAGTTCAGAAAATTCATAATAAATAGAAGAAAATTCATAATAAATAGAAGAAAATTCATAATAAATAGACTAAATTTCATAATTTACGCAAAATAATTCTTTTTAGATAAATTCAAGTGAAAAAAAGCCCAAAATTTTAAAAAGATTGAAAAGAAATAAAGACGAAGAAATTAAAAAAAATTAAAAGAGGAAGAAAGAAAAAAAGAGAGGAAAAATTAAAAGAAAAAAAAGCTTTGTTATAAAATCCTTTAATGAGGAAAATTTTAAATGATATGATAGAAGATGAAGCTGAATTAGGTTCAGATAATGAAGAAAATGATGATAAAGTGAAATAAATAGATGAAGAAGATGAAAGAAAGGAGGCTGGTATTTAAGAAAACGAAGACTTAGATGGAGAACTGAAAGAAATTATCAATAATTAGGTATATATAGACGATGAAAATGAAAAATATGCCCAAATGTAATTCATGAAAGACATAAATAAGAAAGATAAAGAAGAAATCGAAAATATAATCAATGGGATTTATAAAGGAAAATAAAAAAGGAAATAGTAAGATGGTTTTTTAGTCGATGATGAGAATTTATAAAGGGAAAAAAGAATCGAAAATGCAATAAAAATTTTGGAGGAAGAAGAAGATGATAATGATAGGGATTTTTAAGAAAACAATTAAGAGTTTTTTTCAGTTTAAAAAAAGAAAAGGAAAATGATTAAGTAAGAAAAGCAAATGTTTTATTTAAAAAAGAAATAGGAAAAATTCAGTTTCAATTTGATGAAAATAAATTTGTGGACTCTAATCTTTTTTCTATATTAGAAAAAGGAAATAATGTTACTAAAAAAATTACAGAAAATAAAAATTAGCTGAAGAATTCGGTTTTAAATGTTAAATTAAATAAGAACAAATTATCATAGTTTAATGAAAGTTTTAATAAAGAATAATTAATAAATGAATTTGGAGAATAATTTAATTTTTAGAAAAATAATAATGGAGGGATAAAAGATAAATAAATAATTATTAATAATAATAATAGTAATAGCAATAATAATAATAGTAATAATAATAATAATAGTAATAGTAATAATATTAGTAAATAAAATATTAATAATAATAAATTTTCATTAAATAAAATATTTTCGATGAATACATTACTTAAAGTAAGACCTTCTCCAAGTAAATATATGATTTTTGCTTAAAAAAAATACATAACAATTGATTAATATTTTATTAATTTTTTAAAAATGATATATATAAATTATTAAATATATTAATATATAAATATTTAAAAATATAAATAAATAAATATATAAATATATATGTATTTGTATAAATATGTATATAAATATTATTTGTAAATTTTTTTTAATAATTTTAATGAATAATTCTATTTTTTATAATTTAATAAATTTAGTATAATTTAAAATTTAATTTTTATGAAATATTTATAATATAAATAAAACATTTAAATATATATATAACGTTCTTCTTTAAAATTACTATTTATTATATCATAATGTAAAATATATATATATAATAAAATCTAACAAATAAAATTAAAAAATGTTATGTTTTTTTTTGTAATAATATATTTTAATTAAATATAATTTTATTATTATTTAAATAATTTAAATATTTCTATAATATTTTTAAAATATATATATAA